GACATCAGATGATGTATGGCACTGGACAAATCTGCTGCAAAAGACCTCTTTAAAATGCTGAAGAGCAAAAATATCTCTTTGAAGACTAAGGTGTGCCTAACCCAAGCCATGGTATTTTCAATCACCTCATCTGCATGTAAAAAATGGACAATTAATAAGGAAGACTGAAGAAGAGTGGATGCTTTTACGTTGTGGTATTGGCAAAGAATACTGAAAGTACCATGGACTGCCAGAAGAATGAACAAATCTGTCCTCAATGAAGTGCAGCCAGAATTCCTCTTGGAAGGGAGAATGGCTAGACTTTGTCTCACCTACTTTGGTCATGTTGTCAGCAGGGACCATTCCCTGGGGAAGGAAATCATGCTTGGTAAAGTGGAGGGTCAATGAAAAAGAGTAAGGCCCTCAACAAGATGGATTGACACAGTGGCTCCAACGATGGACCCAGGTGTAGCAAGGACTGTGAGGCTGGCACAGAACTGGAGGGTATTTCGTTCTGTTGTGCACAGGGTCGCTATGAGTTGGAGCCAACTCTACAGCACCTAACAACAACAACAACAATAACAACAACATTATTTCCTCTGTATGGTTCATTTTCAGCTGTTTGGCAATAATATGTCTAGTTTATTTTTAAAAGCCTGCTCAGGGTTCTCTGAGGTTCTTGGATCTGGTTAAGATCTTTTATTATTTTGGGAAAATTGTCAGCCATATCTTTTCAAGTACTATTTCTTCCCTATTCTCTCTCTCCTCACCATCTGGGGTTCTAATTATACATATATTAGACCATAGTATGTCTCATAGTTCTTGGATGCTTTATTCTGCTTTCTTTACTCTTTTTTGTTTTAATTAAGGTAATTTCCATTGACCTACAGTCAAGTTCTTGACACCTTCCTCAGGTATGTTAAGTCTATTTGTGAGCTTTTCAAAAGTATTATGATAAATTTTCTAGTATTCTTCATTTGACTTATTTCCATTGTTCTTTTGTTCACACATGTTCTCTGCCTGTTCACTACAGTCTTTAACATATCAATCAGTTATGTAAAATTCCCTGATAATTCCCAAATCTGGGTCTTCTCAAAGTCTGGTTTAATTCCTCCATTTCTTGGCAGTGTTGCTTGTTCTTTGTAATTTTGTACTTTTTTATTGAGTACCCGATAACGAAAATTAAAAAAAAAAACAAAAAAAAACACCTCACTGCCATCAAGTCAATTTTAAGAGATAAAATACACAGTATTTTTGCCTGGACATAGGCATCTGCTCTGCTAGGATGCTAGGGTGGAGTGCTGAATTAATTTGTTCAGCAATCAAGCTGGGTCTGGGCATTGTTGTTGCAACGGTTATCTTCAGTGCACCACTGGCTTCATGTATCTCTAGCATTACCTGTACTTGCAGATAGAGGCTGCAGTGTTGGAGGATTTTACCCACTGCTCTTACTCCACCCTCAGCTTTTGGCCATTCCTGTATACATGTGCCACGAGATTTTCTGTCCACATTCTTGCCCTTTTCCCAATGCGTTTTGCTGTTGGTTGTCAATAGGACCAGCTAGTTTGTTGATGCAGATCAGAGATATTCTCTGCTATTGTCTTGGCTTAAGCTCAGTCTTGAGTGAAATTTGGGGAAGTTAGAGATCCTATGCATTTCGTGGAGCTAGAACTACATAACACTGAAATGAGACATAAGCTCTTTCCCTTTGCTGTGAACAAAAAAATAGGTGATGCTGTGATCTTGTGAGTACTTTGAAGACAAGAGGACAGAGATGAGAGAATTAAAGGAAAGATACATAAATCCTTGAATGACCCAGACCCAACTCTTGTCCTATCTGCAGCCTTTTCATTTATGTAAACTAAGGAATCTTTTTTAGTTGAAGAAACTTTGAGTTAGATTTCCTGTTACTTACAACTAAAAGCATCCTAATTGATAAACCATCTTGAGTTCTCATTACCTTGTGCTGGAAGTGATAACTGCGAGGGAAAAAAAAAGTGTATTAAAGGCCCTGGATTTCTGATGATACTGTGCCACTTGAAGTAGAGCCTTGGAAGCTAGGTTAGAGCCATGCTTTGGTCATATCCTTCATCTAGTTGGAGGACTCATTTTATGACTTCTTAAGCATAAAGAATTGGCATCTCAGTAGTTGTTGATACTCTATTTTACAGGCATTGCTCTATGAAAATGAGTACATGTTCATTGTAAAGATTTCTTTTTAAAATTACACACACAAAAAAAAAAAAACCAATACAATTTTGCTTGCACTGGATATAAATGGTGAGTAATCTTTTACAATTGTAAATTTTTCTACCACTCTGATGAAATTCCCCATTTGTTAATGCAAATGGACTTTAATGGAAATCTGGAGACAAAAAACCAATTACTATAACTGACATTTATTATGAAAGTAGCTGTCATTTGTAACCATTTCTGACAATTTCCAAATATTAAAGTAAAACTCTGCATTAAACATAGGACAAAAGTAAAAATTCAATCATGTAAATGCACTGTTTTTGAAAAGTCAATGAGAAACACCGTTTATCAGTTTTTACTGTCACTTAAAGCACACACACACACACACACACAGAGCTAAATTTAAATTAATGCACACTGTATAGAAAGATATCAAATGTTAAAAAATTTAGCACATCCCTGAAGATGAGACAAAGAATGAGAACCAATTCCAACAGAGTCACAAACAAATTCATGTTATTTCAGGTAGCAATATTGCTTGATGCCCTACATTTCAAATATTTATTTGAAGTGATTATATCAAAGTTACTTGCAGTATTCCTCCTCCACATACATTTTTAAATGTACTTTTGGGGAGGGAAATGAGCTTAATATAAAATTTTTAAGAATAGCTTTACCAACTTTTACTCACTTAACAAATATTGCTGAGTATCTACAAGGAGTTATGCAGTGCCATGGTTTTGAAGACTTAGCAATGAACAAAATTCCTGCCCTCATGGAGTTACATTCTAGTGGACATGGATTTTGACATGTTCATCACTGTACTTTTGCTAAGAAAACAAACCAGGTCCTGTGAAATAACTGATATTAAGGTTCTGACCAAATCCTATGGAACATCAATCATTAGGTGTCTCTACTGTGTGGTCTCCTAAGCATTGTGATTAATGAGGTTGGGCAGAAACATTACATTTTTCATTAAGATGACAAATTAACTCAGTAGAAAAATTAAACTGGATTTTTTTTTTTAACCATAAGAACCCTAGTGAATGGGAAATTTCAGCTCCCATTTGAAGGCTTTTTTTTTTAACACAACAACAACAACAACAAACCACCACCATCTTATAGCACTTCATTCCTGTGTTGAGGGTTCTTAGATGAAGGATAATCCTTATTGCACTCTTCACTTGTATAGAATTTATCACTATGAACTCTTTGATGAATTAGAAGACCTGAGCTCCAACGGAAACCCTTACCACAGGCTTCACACTCAAATGGTTTCTCTCCTGTGTGGACTCTTCGATGAGCTTGAAGGTTGGATCTCTGACTGAAGCCCTTTCCGCACACCTCACATTTGTATGGTTTCTCCCCAGTGTGGACTCTGTGATGGGCTTGAAGACTTGAATACCCACTGAAACCCTTACCACATTGCTCACACTTATAGGGCCTTCCTTCTGTGTGGACCCTCTGATGTGCTTGAAGGCGTGAACTCTCACTGAAGCCCTTTGCACACACATCACATTTGTATGGTTTCCCTCCTGTGTGGACCCTCCGATGTACTTCAAGGCGTGAACTCTGACTAAACCCCTTCCCACACAGCTCACATTTATATGGCTTCACTCTTGTGTGAACTCTCTGATGGCCTTGAAGATATGCTCTCTGACTGAAGCCCTTCCCACATACCTCACATATATATGGTCTCTCTCCAGTATGAACACTCTGATGACTTTGAAGGTATGATCTCTGACTGAAGCTCTTACCACACTCATCGCATTGATATGGCTTCTCTCCTGTGTGGACTCTCTCATGGGCCAGAAGAGTTGAGGCCTTACTGAAGCCCTTCCCACATTCTCCACATTTATAAGGTTTCTCTCCTGTGTGAACCCGGTGATGAATTTGAAGATTAAAGTTCCAACTGAAGCCCTTCCCACACTCTTCACATTTGTATGGTTTTTCTCCAGTGTGGACTCTCTGATGGCCTTGAAGGTGTGAACTCCGACTGAAGCCTTTCCCACACTCCTCACACTTGTATGGCTTTTCTCCAGTGTGGACTCTCTGATGGCCTTGAAGGTATGAATTCCGACTGAATCCCTTCCCACACTCCTCACATTTGTATGGCTTTTCTCCAGTGTGGATTCTCTGATGAGCTTGAAGATATGAACTCCGGCTGAACTCCTTACTGCACTCCTCACATTTATAAGGTTTCTCTCCTGTGTGGACTCTCTGGTGAACTTTAAGAACTGATTTATGACTGAAGCCTTTACCACATGCATTGCATTTATATGGCTTCTCTCCAGTGTCAACTCTCTGATGATCTTTAAGTTCTGAACTCCAATTAAAGCCATTCTCATACTCCTTATAAGGTTTCTCTCCAATGTGGATGTTATGATGACCCTGAAGACACGAAATTCGACTGAAGCTGTTATCACATGCATAATGTTTGTATGGTTGTTCTCCAGTGTGGACTATCTGAAGGTCCTGAAAATGTGAGGCCAGACTGAAGTCATTATCAACCTCCTCAGAATTACAGAGATTTTCTTCCAAGTTAACTTTATGCTGAATATTAAGATTTGAACTACAAATGAAGCGCTTCCCACACTCCACACCTGTGTATAGTTTCTCTTCAGTGTGGATTTTCTGATGAACTTGAAGACATGAGCTCTGATCAAAGACATACCCATTCTCCTCATATTCGTGGGGTTCCTCCCCGGTATGGACCCTAAAAATATTATTAAAGTCTAAGCTATGGCTGAAAGCTTTATCACAAATGTTGCATCTACTGGACATCTCTCCTGGTTGAGGAAGCTCACAAGTGTTATGAGAGGAATACTGATTGAAGTTCTTACCATACTCACATTTGCATGGTTTCTGCTCTGTTTGTGCTCTCTGATGAGACTGTAGATGTGACTTCTCAATAACACAATTATCTCCTCTATGAATGCTTTGATGAATATGAAGAACTGAGCTATACCTGAAGCCCTTTCCACACTGACTGTACATATGGGGCCTCCCTTCTAAGTGTAACTGCTGATGAATTTCAGTGCTGGAGACATCATTGAAGGTTTTTCTATACTCATGATTCCAGTAGGGCTCATGTTCTGTTTGAATTAAGTTCTGATTAAGTAATGATATCTTCATGATGTCTTTTCCACAATCATGGCAGCTATAATTTTTTTCTGTTTTGTGTATTCCCAGATTGTCATTGTGATATGAGATCCAACTGATGCCATGACACTTGCAGGAATTCCTTTTCATGGGAATTTGCTGACATCTACAATGATAATTGTGTGGCTCAGACAGGTACATCTTCCTCCAAGAATGCAGGGCCCTCCAAGGTGGACAGTCTTGATTTTCTATATAATTGGGACTATTCCCTTTATGAGTCAGTATATAGTTCCCATCTTCAGAAATCTGAATTGGTATTCCTGCCCAAGCCTGGCAGGGGGAATCACTTTGTTTTTGTAACTGAAAATTATCCCCTTGACTATTTCTCATGGATTCTTGACACCTGGTTAATCCACTTGCATTGTGTTGCCAGTTCTGCCAGGGGGAAAGCTCTCTGGGAGAAAGGTAGTTTAATCCCACTTCTTGAATATGCTCCTTATGTTGACTCTTGCTTTCTGTAGGAATAAAGAGAATTCAGAAATGTGGACAAGTGAAGGCTTTATTCAGTGATTTCGAGATTTTACACTCAGGTCATAACATGAAATTTGAATGAACCAGAGGAAAACTCAAGTCACGACCTCTAAACATACTTAGGAAAATCTTCCTCTTTGGCAGCACTAGGTTTATAAGTAGAATTTGGGCTATCTGCATGCTTCAAAGATGAGGGCTCTGCTATATAACCTGGACATCAGGACAAGGTGGTCCTGCTCAAAAGGCCTAATAAAACTGTACAAGTTATCATGACTTTATCATGGATTGCTTGGAGATCCCAAGAAGAAAATCTTTTCAAATTGGAAACAATATAGTTGTAACAAGGAGCTCTGGTGGTGCAGTGCGTAAGGCATTAGTTGCTAACCAGAAGGCTGGTGGTTCAAACCCACCAGATGCTTCGTGGGAAGAAGATGAGGCAATCTACTTCTGTAAAGATTTATAGCCTTGGAAACCCAATGGGGGTCACTATGAGTTGGAATCAACTAAATGGCAGTGGTTTATATATATATATTTGTTGTTTTTGTGTGCCGTCAAGTTGGACCCGACTCATAGCAACCCCTCCTTGGGTTTCCGAAGCAGTATCACTTCAGAAGAAAATTGCCCCATCTTCCTTCCAAGGACTGGCTGGTGGGTTTGAACTGTCAGCCTTCTGGTTAGCAGTCAAGTGCCTTAGGCACTATGCTACCAGAGCTCCTATATATATATATATATATATACACACACACACACACACACATATAGTTGTAATGGATAAATGCTTATTGTCCTGACAGTAACTTTTTCTTTTTTCTCTGCTACATATGTATGGTAATTTTTTGTTTGTTTGTTTGGAGGAAACTGTATGTCAAATGCTGTGCTGAAGAAAGTAAACAAAGACCTGTAATACACACTTGAGGTAACATGTGGCTTCTGTAATGATTAACTTATCTTCGTGAGGATGACGCATTCTCCTAAGACACTGTAAGGCCTTACCAGTTTTTAACTCCTTTCAAAAGTACTTTCACAATTATCAAGGGCCATGGCACAGGTTGGAATGTGAATAAAATGTGACAGTATTCAACTCAAAAAATTTTTAAAAGGCTGAGGGGTAAGCACAGCTTAGTGTCAGGGCACCTGTGGGTGACCTGAGCCAATCCATCAGCCATGAACAAACTCAGTGAACAGTGACCTCAGCTTGGGTTACTTTACAAGATCGTTACTTCCATACATGTTTAAGGAAGCTGAGGCTCCGGAACAGTGGACATAAGCATGTTTGGGTGGAAAGAGTTTATCACTTATTCATTAAGGCTCAGCTTCAGCGCAGACAGCTCTTTCTATTCCAGTGAGAAGTGTCCTGTACAATAAAGTGTTTAGTACAATAAAGCACACAGAGGGCACAGCTACAGACACTTAGACATGACCAAACACCTCACGGGAGTGGCTTTCTGGATTAGAAGGATTAGGACTGTAGTCTCGTGGGACATCTCAGTGAGTTGGCATACTATACTTCCTAAAGTTATGTTCTATATGCTACTTTGGTGGGTAGTGTTGGGGGCCAAAAGATAGCCTAGAGGCCTGCACAGCTGAGAAGGGGTATGCATGACCCAGAGGAGGCCTGTCCTGAGGGGACCAAGGGGAGGCCTGCATAGCAGAGAGAAGGGCCTGCTTGCTTGCACAGCCGAGAGGAGCTGAGAGAGCTGTCCTGCACTGAAAAAGAGAACGATGTGCTCTCCTCTTCAAAGAGCCTTCTAGACTCTTCCTGAGTGCTTCCTGATCCTGATCCCAACTTGTACCCGTTGCTTTCTTAACAAACCACTGAACTGTGAGTTGTGTTGTTGTTGTGTGCTGTCGAGTCGGCCTGACTCATAGCGACCCCTCCTTGGGTTTCCGAGGCAGTATCACTACGGAAGTAGGATTGCCCAACCTTCCTTCCGAGGAGTGGCTGGTAGGTACGGTCTGTGAATTCTGTGTGGCCAGTGCCCTGGATTATCAAGTAGAGAGTGCCATGGGATGGACAGCTGGTGTCAGAATGTGGTAAAAAGGTTGAAGGGTAGGGGTCTGTCTGACCTCCACCTATGGGGATCATGGGGATCATGGGGATCAGCCTTGGGCTGATCTGATTTGCCCTTAAGTAAGACAGTTCTGATGCTGCTACTGGGCCATTTTGACAAGGCCACAAAGAATGAGAACATGAAGGTGCATCCCTGCTGAGAGGGACCACTGGCTCTCTGGATTCATGTGGGAGACTGCCTGAGACGCAGCTGCGTGTTCACTGGAGCCAATGGGCTGCTACTGTCTATTCTCTTCCTGTGGAGAAAATCAAAATGGCTCAATACTCTAGTGAGAACTTTGAGTGAACTCAGTATCTACTTAGAACCAGCAAATCGCCCAAAGGAAATAGAAGAAAAAGCAAGATAACTTGCAGGAATCAAGCCTCCAGTCAATTCCATGACAACCGATCTTTGTTTGCTTATGTGGGTGATGAGTAGATTTTATGTAGACATAGGTTCCAAAACACTTCTTTTACTGTAAGGGAAGTGATTTCTCTTGACATTTTCCAAACCAAACCAAACTCACTGCCATGGAGTCAATTCTGACTGACAGCGACCCCTCCGTGGGTTTCCGAGGCAGTATCTCTACAGAAGTATATTGTCCAATCTTCCTTCCAAGGAGTGGCTGGTGGATTTGAACCACCAGCCTTCTGGTTAGCAGTCAAATG